ACAGGAACATCCATGGCTGGATCTGGCTCTGAATAGGCTGCACAGTTATTGCCACACTTTAACACCCAAAAAGAATGAAGATATGGGATTTTTCAAGTTTTTTTTAATTTTTCTACCCCCCTCCCGGTTGTGATTTGGAGAGGACGTTGTGGAGCATGAGTATTATAACTGTAACATTTTCATGTTGTGCTGCTGTAAATTTGGAACCTGGCTCTGATTTTTGCTTTGCCAGTAGAACAAAATCTCCCCTTCTGCCTGGGTTTCCTTGCCTTGATTGAAGAGCAGCACTGAGGTTTTGATGAATTGTGTTTGCTCCTTGCTCTGGTCTAAAGAAAAGCGCAGAAACTGATTTTTCATCACACTTCAGATTTTTCTGGCCTTGCTCTGTTGCTGCATTGACCAAGGTGAGAACAGCACTGAGGGGATAGTGAGCATTCCAGGTTCAGCATTCCCCAAGGATTCATTTCCAGTATTATTTACCCATTTTTAGGATACAGAAAAGGGGTGAGCACTTAAAAATCAGGGCAGGGGAATACAGTGCAAGGAAGGGGTTCCTTTCTCCAAATGATGTCCTTCAGCTGCCTCCCGGTTTTAATGCTCAGAGGCAAAGGGAGGAATATTGAACTCTGAATTTTTTGGTTTCACGAGCAGAGCAGAGCAGGACATTGAGGCAGGATCCCAAATTTCCACGGTGGTTTTTAAGGAAGGGCTGAATTAAAGCAAAGCAAACAAACAATGAGCGAGTCTTTTATTGCAGATCAGACATTGCAGCAAATATTACAGCTTCACTTCAAAACAAACCTCGCAACTAATGAGGTGATAGCCGTGCATATTAATAAACACAACTGCAGTCGTAGCCATCACACCCACATCAAACATAAACATGAGATTAACACCTCCACCACTTCTTTGGAAGATGTGAGAATGTCCCAATGATAAGTGTGCTCTTTTCCCCAGAGGATGAGAAGTAGAAATGGAAGGGTAATGAGAAATTAACTTAGATTTAAAACAGAATTAGCAATTAAACAAGTCTCATCATGTACAAAGTCAAAGTTTGTATAAAGACAAATCGAAATCTGTTAAGTTCAAGAATAAGTATAGACCGTGTGCATTTTATCTGCTGTGTTTTCCTCTGTTCACACCTTCTTATTAAAGAAAATGTATGAAATAAATGTTACCCACTTGTGTTTAATTGTACTGATCTGGATTTGTGTGTGTGGCTGTTTGGGCACTGGCAGTGTGTATATAAGTACATAAAAATATATATATTTATATATATTGCACAGTTGGAGCACCTTGGCTTCTGATTAGATTTTATAATGGCTGAGGACTAGCTTTTAAATTTGTGTTAATTTTGGAGCTGTTTTCTGGTTTGTAATCTGTGAGGTGGGTTGAGCAGAGCTGAGGGTCTGGAGATCTCCTGGACTGTTGGTTGGTTTGTGGCAAAAGGGAGATTTGTGCATCGCTCTTTTTATCCCAGGCTGTTAAAAAAAAATGGGATATGCCAATCCTCTTTGTTCTGGCATAATCTACTGGAGCTGTGGAGTGCTGGGTGGGAGGGACAGACATTGGTGCTGAGTGGACAGTGGGTGTTCTCATCTTCTCACCAGTAGCTGTTGTTTGCTGAGGATTTCACCAGAGATGTCCAGAGCACCATTTTTGATTCTACCTCTCCCCCTTTTTTGCCTTTTTATGAGAAATAATCAGCATTAATGAAGCACAACCACAAATCCAGGGGTGTATATGTGAATGTATGAACCTGGGCTAGTGGAAGGTGTTCCTGCCCATGGCAGGGGGGACAAAATGAGCTTTAAAGTCCCTTCCAACCCAAACCATTCCAGGGTTCTGTTATTCTATACATATATTTATACCTGTATGTATAGCTAAACACATACATGGCCACTCATGGACCACTTAAGGCTTATTTTAAAAAAATCATCCTGGCCTCTACAAAACCGTGCTGATGTCTTCCTTGAACTTGGCACGTCGAGGTTTTCTATTTTTAAAAGACAGGAAAAGTCAAGAGACAGCTTTTAAACAATCTCAGGGTTTTATTTTTTTATCCCCTCACACACAATCACGGATGTGTTTGCTTTTCAATAACACAAATGAGTGAAATGTTTGGTGTGGAAAAAGCTGAACCTCTGACAGTTCTGTTTACTGGTGAGTAAGAGCTTGGAGGTCCCTTTTATTTGCAGAGAGGTGAAACTACTTAGGCAGATCCATCACGAGGAGAACTTGTTCATCCTCTATAATGATGCTTCATAGAAATCATTTGTATTAAGCAAGCCCTGGTAATGGGAGCATAATGACCCCTTTTGGCTCTTGTTTAAATTCTTTCACTTCTGAACACTAATATTAATCACAAGCAGATGGTGCAGAACATTATTTATGCACATTTGTTTCCCCAACCCCAAAAAATATTTAACCCATTAACTGAAGTGCTTTATGAAACCAAAGGCTAATTTGCTGATTAGGTGATTTTTTTTTTTTGTTCCTCACTTTCAATATGAGATATTTTGTCACTTCCTTTTCTTTTTGAGGAAACCATTGGGATTCGTAGCAAACATTTGCTTAAATTTAATTTCTGCTGGAAGGACAGATTGAATTTGCTCTCACAGAGCTTGTTTGGCTGTTTTTCTCTATATGGTCCCTGGATTCTGGAGTCTTCCTGTCCTTGAGGGGCCAATTGCCCATCTTTTTTTTCCTTTTAGGATTTTCTTTTCTTTTGAGCTTTGTTTGTGAAAGGATTTCAGGCTCAGGCAAAGCCTAATGAATGACAGGTGTTTATTCAATTATATCAGCTTCCTGTCACATCCTGTGCAGTAGCAGGGAAGGGGAAATGGGGTCTTCAGATCCCATGAGGGATCCTGGGGGGAGCTGGGCAGTGCTGCTGGCACAGGGGACAAATGTGCTGTGGTGGTTTCCTCTGCTGGGTCGTGTTAGGAGAACAAGGATTTGTGGGCTGGACTTGGAGAACACTGAATTACAGAATCCCAGAATGGTTTGGGTTGGAAGAGACCTGGAAGTTCATCCCATTCCAACCCCCTGCCATGGGCAGGGACACCTCCCACTGTCCCAGGTTGCTCCAACCTGGCCTTGGACACTTCCAGGGATCCAGGGGCAGCCACAGCTTCTCTGGGCAACCTGTGCCAGGGCCTGCCCACCCTCACAAGGAAGAATTCCTTCCCAGTATCCCACCTAACCCTGCCCTCTGGCAGTGGGAAGCCACTCCCTGTGTCCTGTCACTCCAGGCTGTTGTCCATTTGGTTATTAATTATTTTTGTTACAATTTTTGTTACAATTAAGGTCATACTGTGGTATAACCTTCCTGTTCCTGGTGTCTGTCCTGCAAACAGCTGGATTTGTGGGCTGGAATGTCGGGATTTCTGTGTGTGCAGCAACACCTGCTGCTCAGTCCATCCCGGCTCTGCACGATCCCGGGGATGAGGTGGCTCCAGTGGCTCCATATTTTTAGAAAGAAGGTTAAACAGGATTACTGTGCAACTTGGTGTTCTGCTCAGGATTCAGGGTAGAGCTGCTGATGTGCTGGGCACGTCTGCTCAGATTGAGCAAAGTCACTCAGCACCAGAGGGGGTAAAACTCCATCAAAAATGCAGCACAGGGATTGAATTCCTAAAGCTGGAGAGCAGGATACGTGAATTGGGGTTTTGGATGCTGTTACATCATGGAGACTGATTTTTTGGGGGAGGCTTTTAGGGAGAAATTAGAGAATGTGCCCCCTCACTTGCAACATACAGATCCACTTAAGGTATGTAAGGTACTTTTTAAAACTGGATTTTTAGCTCAAATACAAAAAAGCATTTAATCAGCTTCTTAATTGAGGTTATACATTTCTACATTACAGAGACAAATTAAACAGGCTACTGTGCTACCAGAAAACAGCTGCTAAACCAAGGCAAACTTAATGATAAACAAAATTAGGTGCTTTTCTGGTTGGGTTTCATCCATCTGCACCCAACGAGTGCTCACTTTTAAAGGAGGCACAGATATACCAGCTATTGCTTTTAATCCATTTTGACAGAAGAAAGCAGTGATTAGGCAAAGCCACTGTGCTCTAATCTTCCCAACTTTAAGCCAGGCCATAACGTGCACATTCTGCTTCCCAACTGGCATCCCTGGAACAGGGAAGATGTTCAGTGTTTCCTGCACTAGAGCCAGGCTGGATGTTCAGCAGATTATTCCCATGTGGATTTTACAGTTTGAAGCAGAAATGTAGCAACTTCTTTTGGCATCAGAGGGGCTCAGCATTAAGATCTTCACACTGACAGTCTGGTTTTATGATGGACATTGCTGGTTTATCTGCTGGAACAGGGTTAGTTCATCATTTTAAGGCTTTGCTGGCAGTTTACCCCTGTAAAAGCCCTGAAACCCTGAGGTTGGAGCCTTTTCATGCCATAAAAGCCACAGAGGTGGAAGCCAGAAGCTTTGAGGAACTGTGTGCACAGAGCACAGGGATTAATCCCTGTCTAAATGTTATCCCTGTGGAATTTCATCTTCTTTTCTCAGGCTGATTTTCCAGTTTGTCAGAATCCCTGTGAATTTTGGGTGCTGCCCTTCAGTGCTCTTGTCACCTCTTCCCCCACTGGTGTCACCTGCAGATTTGATAACATGGATTATTAGTGTTGTATAATGTCATCTGTGTAATATCTTATAATGTCATCTATGTAGAGATGGTGTATAATTTATGTATTTCTATAGATGATATAAATATAATATATATGTATACATATAGGTATGTATGTTTATATATTTATGTATGTATGTTTATATATATTTATGTAT